GTTCCTCCGAAACGTCGGTTAACACCACATATACACGCTGCCAAATCCCAGAAGACTGCTTTCTGCATTCAGTTAGGGTCTTGTTTTGTTGGGTGCCCTCTCTGACGAGAGGACGGGCCTGTCTTTTGTCAGAGTTATTGTCTGCAGTACTAAGTCATTTGTCAAAATGTAAAGGATATTTACATTTTACATGTTGAATATGTTAATAAATATATATAAAATATATACAGGGCCTCTGTCAGTCCAGGCTCAGTACAGCAGATTATGCCCTATTTCTAGTAGCTTCCGCTATAACGGCAATCTAGTCAATTGAATGGTCGTATGTTTGACCGCCGCCAAGTTTAAGCCTCTTATACTCTACTCCCTCGCAATGACAGCCAGTTCTTGTCATATAGCCGCGGCCCGGACTGCACAGAAAGCACCGCTTCCAATTAATGTTCTATTTTTGCGTTTTTCACAGCCGCTACCTAGCAGTGGTTGTTTGTCTAGTTCCACAGTTCTTGTTCTGAGAAAATATAATATTAATTACTGGGAGGACCTTCCGATCACTGTCTTTAATTAACTGCATTTGAGTTGGAAAATTAAATTTCTGCTTGTACTCAGTGATTAGATCTAGACTCACCGAAACAGGAGTCTCGTTACGTGAATTCTATATACTTGTAGACTATAAAACATATTCAGATTTTAGTGTCGTGGTATTGTTTGCTGTTCTTAAATGCGCAAATAAACATCTCATACAACATTCAAATATTTAATTTTTAATTTAGTTTTATTTTTAGGCCAACGGATTTATTTATAACAAATCAAAACATATATAATCAGTCAGAGTAGACCAAAGAATTATTTTAAAATTGCAATATAAATTATCATAATCGAAACTGCATTGGTTTTATAATAGGGAGAGTCAGTAAATATGTCACAAATGGAAGTTAAGCAGCTGTAATGAGCGCAATAGGTTTCTTTATGTATCACTAATTAGCAGCACTGTACAGCTTCATGAGGGTCTAAGTAGCAGACGCACATGCGCATGTTCAGAAGCTGGTTTTAGAAGTGAAAATAGAGACCTTGCTTGAGGTGTTTACTACCGAAGAGCAGCGTTCTGATTTAATTTTCTTCTGTGGGCATAAGGACTCAATGCAAAGGATATTCATAAAGAAATGTTTCCTTTTTAAGGCGGAAAGTGCTTGTCGCGTATATCGGATCACAACTGGGTCTATAAATTCACTCAAGAACGTTCGAAAGTCACAGATGATGACCGACCAGGTGCGGAAGTGGCTGAGACAGCAATTAAAGGACTTCTTTGCTGCGGATTTCGATGCACTAGTAAAGCGACGGGACACATGTATCACTGTTGGTGGAGGATATGTCGAGAAATAATTTTTTTTTCAGGTTCGAATATCACATGTTTTACGTTTTATATCCATTTGTGACGTATTTACTGACTCTCCCTCGTATCTGAAGAAAGAGTTTCCGGTATAACTCACATAACATCACTTCCTGTTGCACTTACAAATCCTGTTCTGTTAATGTCATATTTATGAAATGTATATTTAAAGTCCAATATTGGAGTTCAATTTCGCTCTCCGGAAAACGTGTTGGATTCGTGCGTTGATGGACATGAGATGTAATTCTAATTCAGGCAAATTCCTGTTGCTTATAATTTCAAGTATATTAAAGTTTTAT